AATTAAATAAGACTATCAAAAATATGCCAATCAAAGTTAAATTAATTATGTATAATTAAGTACAGTGGTTTCAATATAACTAAAATCAGAGTCAGAAAAACGATACATTTAGATGTATTTTTGTCCGTACAAGCCCTGACGTTGGTCTCATTGTTTTAGTTCTAAATATTTTAACAGCGTGTTTCCCAATGCCATGTTGGTTACATGTATATATTTGAATCAATTTTATGATCTTTTTTGTTAAACGCAGTCAAAAAAAATAATTTTGTTTTGTTTTATTTCATATTGTTTATTACATTTTGAGTTGTCTTCAAAAATAAAATAATGCAAAATGTAACAACGAAAAAGGACGTTATTACATTTTGCGTTGATCTCGACGTAAAATGTAATAACGCAAAATGTCATAATCTAAAAACCGTGTTATTACATTTTGCGTTATTACATTTTGCATTGATCTCGACGCAAAATGTAATAACGCAAAATGTAATAATCAAGGTTTATTAGATTTCGCGTTGTTATTACATTTCGCGTTGTAACAATGCTCTACGTATGAACAGTTTCTAAAACGAGGTAAGTTATTGACAGACAAGTTGATGAAACAAGAATATCAGCAGTCTCGTTTAAAGTCATCATTTCGTAAGTTCTTTGGTCGATACAATGACCTTGTCAGCAAATACAATTTATCATTGGGTCAAATACTGACTGACGTTTTTCATACTAATTGTTAGTCCATTATTTATACACTGAATTGACGACGGATATTTCCCGATCACGACAAGGAGCACATGCCGGGTGTGACCGGTCGGTAGGGGATGCTCACTCCTCTATTACACCTGATCCCACCTCTGATGTTTTAAAGGTTCATGTTTGCTCTGCTCCTGTTTTGTGGACTTTGTGGACTTTGATATTGAATACTGTTCATTATCTCCATATCTTTTACAGTCGCATTAAAAATTAATTGTGACAACAAAAATAGTTTCAAATCACTTGGCATAATCAATTTTTTGATAGAGGAGTTAAAATTGTCCTATTTATTCACAAAATAACAAAAAGGGGGCTGTGAAGTAATTTTTAAATATTACTTAGAAAGTGCTAATTTTAAGCTTAATTCGGGCTTTTTGCAAGGACTTTCATGATATATTTTAACAATTTTGTGATTGAATTCATGACAGTTAATTTGATATATACTTTAGGACCAACAAAGAACATTTAACTGTACAAAATTACTCTGTGTGCAGCCTGCATATAAAACTAGGAATCCAAACTTAACAATACTGATAATAAAACTAAAATTTAGTTCGGAATTTATGTGGATTGTTGCGATTATTGGGCTGAATAGAAGAGTCCCCAAGGTGTATGCATTCCAAAAGGATGTTACCTTTACTTTGATTGTTAATGATTTTTGTTAGGTCTCCTTCATTGTATGTAAAACGTAACAATATTTGATTTTTTCCATTTGCATTGGCTTGTTTTTCATTTGTATTGTATGATTTTTATTTGTTTGATATAATTTTCTAATTGTATTACAATTGTATTATATAATTTTTCATTTGCATAATTTTAGTTTTTATTCTATAATTTGTTTTGAATAATATTTTGAATAATATTTATGTATTGTATAACTTATATTTGTATTCTATAATTCTCTATTAGCATTGTATATTTCTTTATTTGTAGTAAATTTTTTTTTCTTTATTCTACCATTTTCCATTCGCATTGTATCATTTGTTATTTATGTTGTAAAAATGCTTATTTTTGATTTTTCAATTGTATTGTATAACGAGGATTATTTATTTATTTCCTTATTTCATTGGGTTCCATTTGCGTTCATGTTAGAAGACAGTCATTTTAATCTGAATAGTAGCACTGCCACTTGGCAGATACTGTACATTGGCAAATAATCACGAATGGTTTAATTTCGCTATGTTCGCGATTTATCATTTTTCCGCGAAATTAAACCCATCGTGAATATTAATATTAGTTTTTAAAACCGCTTAAATGGTTATAGGAAATTTTGAATTAATTTCTTGCAGAGTGAAATTAAAACCATCGCAATTCGTACTTTTTGAGATATCGTTAAATTTTAACACCGTGGAATTAAAACGACTTACAGTATATTATATGTCCTTAGAAATGTTGATTGATTAAATGAATAATATCAATCTGACCTCGAGTAGTAGTACTTACCCTCCTCCCCACCCCATTAAAAATTCCCCTTTTCCTTTTTTTTTCTTGTCTCTGGTCATATTTGAAATAAATATTTTCTCATGCAAGAGAATGAAAATAAATAACCGGTTTCTGCAAACACCTCCACCTGAGAATTAGAATATTTTATAAAGAAAATACACATTTTTTAACATCGGTTTTACATTTATTATCATATCTACATTTGCAAATATTTTCCTTTATATAACACCACTGAAAGCACTGTTGATGTTGACATGACGAAAGAAATATAATCTATCATGCTGTAAAATCTCTTTTATTATAGTATTTCAACTTGAAATTTTATTTAGCCATTCCTAATTTAGAACATTAAATTTCTTCACATGCATTGATCAATCAACTTATTTGTAAATATGCACAATTGGCGATGGTCTAAATAGTCTTAAAACATTGCCATACATGGCTTTCAAGTGGGCTTTGATAATGAATACATCAGACACAAAAATGATCATGAAAACTAATCCAAGAAGACAACCTCCCAGAATTCCTATTCCTTTTGATGACTTCCGGTAGTCGGTTGCACTCTCTTTCTTACGGATACTTGACGAGAGGTTCCGAACTGCCACCTCTCCTGCAGACCTAGCTTTTTGCAGCACTGGTCTCATGATGTTCAGCACTTCTTCCGGTGAGTAGTCGTTCAGAAATTCCCATTTACTTACTCTGGGTTCCTCCTTGTCTGAAAAACGATTAATATGCATTGCGTTATCAACATGTAGGATATACCTTGCTATCTGCCCAATCAAAGTTGTAGAAATTCATAAACATTTAAAGAATGTTCTACAATGAAAACAAATTGCGCAAATTTCTACGTATATCATTTTTAAATTTCCTACATGAACACTAAGAAGTTATGTGACTTATTCAGGATACGTACGATAAAATCCTAAAACGGCGATACGATCTACCATTAACAACGCGTTATCTAGAGAGGGAAAAAATATAACATTAATATGGTAATAATATTACCAAGAAATAAACAAAATCTATGGTTTTTCCATCCCAAAAAATAAGAAAGAAGAAAAGTTCACTTTTTTGCATAAATGAGTATTTTTTCATGGAAAGTTGACTTTTGGTACATCTAAAGGAGAGTCAGAAAGAAAATTTCACATTTTTGTGACGGAAATTACAAAGATGCTATGTAATACTTGATATTCAAAGGATTTACCTGCTAGTTCATACAAAGTTAGACTTCCTTTAGTTTCCAAACCAGATAAGCTAAAGGTCATTTTTTGTGCTCGAAAGCATGTTTTAAACCATTGCATACCAATGTCATTGGAAAAATCAATCTGAAAATAATGTTATTCAAAATATAATTTATAAGCTCTCGAATGACAACGAAATAGTGTCTGATATATACATTCTGATTACTACAGAAATTACAAATATAAACAAATTTTGATTTTTTTAATTCTTCTTACAGGGAAAGTCTCCTCATCGCTCTCTGCAATGATCATCTCTATTTTGGGTCTTTCATTTGTTATACTTGTCAAATTAATTCCACAAATCATCTTTTCTTCTGTGAAGTTGGCGACGTACTGAAATGAAGTTCCCTGCTAAAAAAAGTCATTAAATTTCATATTTTTTTTCCAGAATGAACGCCCTCTCTTTGATATAACCGATTTTAACGAAAGATATTAAAATATACTTCATAAAACTTGTCAAAGAAGTAAACATTACCTGTCAACGACATTTACATGTACGTCATGGTATTTACTGTTTTAAAGCAAGTTTCCACATAATTAACAACAACATCGTTATATACACAATGAAACCGAAGAGTACCAAAATTCAGTAACATTGAAATAAATAAACATTAACAAATCATAATAAAACAAGCATTAAAGATTTTATGATTAAATTTTAATATAAAACAATGTAATTCTTCCGTTATTTTACTTCTGCATAGGTGATCATAATTATACTTATAAATCAACAATGGGGAAAACATAGAAATATGTAATACGACTTCGAAATTGTAATTGATTATAAGACTTGGCATTAACATGTATTTCTCAGAAACGTGAATCATGACCCGTTGTTTTACAATGAACTGATTTTCGTCAAAAAATTCATACTTTTTTCAGAAGAAACGTCCATTCTTTTATTCAACTGGTCATGGTTTGAAAGAAAAGTTTTTTTGAATCATTGAGTAAACAAAACATACTACAAACAATATAAATCTGTTTATTTTTATGTGGGAATAGGTGCAAAGGAGGAGTAAGCATCTACTGTCGACCGATCACGCCCTCTGTTAGCTGCGTCCTATGAACTGATCAAGTAGGTCTTATATTCCTGCATATAAACTTATCACTTAGACTGATTTTTTTTTATCAAACGAATTGTTATATGCCAATCCTGACAATGGGTACACGGTGGGTGTGACCTGGGATGCCAACTCAACCATGGGACCTGATCCCATCTGTCATGGTTCTGGATGTCCCTGTTTGCTCTTCTCCCGATTTGTATTGCTTACATAGACCATGAGCTTCAATACAATTCGTCATCTCCCGGAATGAAATTAATAAGATTTAAAGTCTTAAATAAAAGGAATCATTAATAAATCAAGATAAAAACCTTTTAACCACATCAAGAAATACATTAATGTTTAAATTAAATATATTTTGTGAAATATATTTTGCAAAATATATTTTGTGAAATGTATTTTGCAATATTATAATACATCACAATTATGAACAAGTTACACTTACTTCAAAGCATAAATTAGGGACAAAAAATAATATGCGAATGTCAGTATCAAACAAAATGAATATAAAATCACTGAAATTAATTACTACCGGTATATCTAAACACATCTAAACATACAGATAGATAAACTGGCAGGAAAAATTATAAACAGAAAGACTGTTGAACAATAAAAAAGATGAAAAGTCAGACACACAGATAGAGTTATACCTTGTCATTTTGTACTTCTAGCGTAAAGCCTTGAACCCTCCTCATTCCGTAATTTGGCTCTAACAAAATAATGGGAAATTAGTTCATCTAATATCAACTTCAACTATTTTCTCTCAGTCATATTTTATTTATGTGCTTTATCACAGAAACGTTTAGATTCTCTAGAAATTAAAAATCGCAACATTAAGTATTGCATTGTTGTGGCATATTTCTCGCTATTCTCTATTTACAATAAGAATTGCATGGAATTCAAACCTCATAGATTTACACTAATTTTTTTTCTAGAGGGTTATCAAAAATATTTCTCGCTAGATCTGCTATATTCTGCTGCTGTAATTTCTCACTCTCCTGGTTATATCGTCCTGTACATACTTGATAGGGTTGAGGTCGCGGGATTAAAATGCTAGCTAACCGATTTTTTTAGCGTTGCAAACAATAAAAAAAAACTTATATAAAGTCTCCTAACTTTTTCTGTTTTTTTTTTCAATACAGTTTAGCTTCTGAAGGGATTAGTATGCGTCCCAAAATGTGCAGTGCAGTTGCACAAGCGGTTGCATTCCTAACACAATGGTGAGTATATTTCTCATACTCATAAACTGGATCTTTATCTGTGTCACGACGAAGGCCGTCAAAAGCATTAGATCATTTACACCAGTTCCATTGAATTTCCAGATAAACCTTGGGATCTTTATGTAGTCTCTGTGAAACATCTAAATTGACTAATAATAATTGTTGTGATTTAAAATAAGCTTTTGACATTCCTTCGGATGTTATTTTTACAGGATTTAAGAAACATGGTGAAAGAAAACAAGTCACATCATAGATTGGACCAAGTCATAATCTTAATTACGTTGCAAAGAAGGCAGTGAAGTTTAATTTGAATCCCTAAACATCCCTTAGAAGATTTGTAAAATAATTATAACAATTAAACACTTGGCAAAAGATTACGAAAGTTGTGCAAATGGAAACAATTAAAGATAATTAAATAAAGATAAGGTGAGTTCTGGTACTTGAATGGGAGTATGGAAAATGAACCCTCTCTTGAGTAATTTATGAAATACCGCCGGGTCACAGTGAGAAATACTGTACTTATGAGGATTTGAATGAAAAAGTTGATGCTATATATATGCGGAACACAGGACTAACAATAAGTATAAAATAAGCAAAAATATGACCCAATGCTAGGTTGTATTTGTTAACAAGGTAATAATAGCGACAATAGATTTAGCCAAATAAGTTTAAATACTTCTAACATGTAGTATATGTAAGTAAACTCCAGACTTGTCGTACTACGAACATACCCTTGAACATCGAATACGTTGAGAGATGTATACACCATATGCAAGTGATAAAGACATGAATAATTATATCCTTTATCACCTGCATAAATAAATGAAGTAAACAATGCAATTGACTCATGATCACAAAACCGCTTCTTTATGTGTGAAAAAGACATTCATCAGAAGGACAGAGACGATAGTCGAGAAGATTTTGAAAACTTCTAGTCGGATGAAAATTGAACAAAAACGAACATATTTAAACTTTATCAATTCCTCAAGTAAATATTAGCTGAAAAAAATATAAATTAAAGTCAGCTACATGCATCACTTATTTTCAAAAATGCATTTCACTTAAAGAACATAAAATACAAAGTGTGTATTGAACCTTTTTATGCGGTAAGTAAAATTCTTTTCCGATAGTAAATGATAAGCAACTTTATTATATTATTAAAAATATGAAGAACATATATATTTTTAAATGTTCAATTTATGAAAGTAAATATATTGTGTATATCGTAATTTAAAAATCGAAAAAAACATTCTGATTTAAATCTATTTAATGTTTAGAAAACCTTTAATTCTGAATAACCTTTCCCACCTCAATCCCATTACACCATAACTTAAACTTATATGTATAGAGCAGTCTGGTCCCACGTGCTGCGATAAGTAAAGTTTACAAATGAAACATTATATAAGCTCGTTTATCATACAAAGTTTTTTTTACCATCGATAGTCAGCAAATCATCTAATTATGGAACAGATGTAGCAGATTCTGTCATGCCTTTAATTTGAAGTTTACAGGGTTTATCTCGTCGGCGTATGAATGATAGTAATTATTGTTAATTGATACCACATTGTTCATATATCTAAATGTCGAGTAAAAGTTTTTGAAGAGATTCTGCTTAACTGGAATATTAAAACAGGCTATCGTATAAAAGGGGAAAAAAATTAGTGTCCATCGATATTCCGACTTTTTTTTTTTGAAGACCTAGCATCCAAAGATTACGTCAACTTCAGTGTAATTGTACGATCAGAGTGGCTTTTTCATTAAGTAATTTTATAGATGACAGATGGGAATTTTCAAGAACAATAAGTTCGATGAAGTAATTTTCTATATGTATTATTTTAAAAATGTAGAAGCGATGCAGCAATATAAAGGAAATTTTTATGTTCCTAAAATTTAACAATTTTATTAAATCGTAATTAATTTTATGGTCAACATGCATGAATCTATGCAGCCTTCATGCAATTTGTCGGCGGGCAGTTAATGGTTACACTGAACGATTTAAAATTCGACATGCATATGGCATAAATCGAAGTAAACATATATCCAAGGTTTTTTAACTTCAAGGATCGATAATAAAACAAGTTATAAAACCATTCTTATGAATGTCGTGAGATAGTAGATGAATAAAATTTGTAAAAATATACTTTGACTTACCTTGTGTCTGCAAGTTACTAATATGAAATCGGCATTTTTCCTGAAAGTAAAAAAATTGTTCCTGATCATTATTAGAAAGAAAAATTACAAGGGCAACGGAGCGCCCCTTCTTAAAAGAGCATTGAAATATATTAAGACATCGAGTCCGATGCAATTTACATCAATTCCGTCACGCACGCAAGGACAAACAAACCAACACACCCTTACTCCTAAGCGGGTTGCTATTACTCCTCCGACTCCGTTGAGAAGGGATAAAAATATCAATAATTGGTTTCTATATTTTTTCAGATCATAATGCCATTTTGAACTAGTTGCGTTCAATTTTGTGCATGTAACTCACATTGCAATGTTGTGCTGAGTAATTTATCGTGCAATTAGTCTGACAATTTCTCTGAAATATAAAAAAAAAAAACAACAAATGTCAAAAGCAAATTAAAAGAAATAAATTTTGCATTTTGTATGAATTTATTGACTGAGATTTTTTAAAATTTCCTAGTCTCTACTCTAAGAGAGATACCTCTCCGCATTGTGGTCTACCGGTACCCTTTTAAGCTATTCTTACAGATAAATGTCTCCAGTTTTAGTAGAATTTGTCGCTTTTCTGTTTTTCTTTTTTTTTCAGAATGTAGTTAAGGTGTATGCTTTATGGCAGAGTGAGGCGTTAATCATTAAGTCGCGGGTTTATATAAAACTTCCGAAATGATGATTTAATACGAGACCGCTAATATTCTTGTTTCACCTATTTGTTTTAGAAATTTTCTTATGTACAGCATGCTCTTGAGTACGTAGGTGAATAAGGTTTATTGCTGCATAAGTAAGGGATGTTGACGATTGAAATGTTGAAGGCATTTAAATTGTCATTAGGCTTTGTTGTTTGATTACCATTAACGTCTTTATCAAGTAAATTATCAAAGTATGAAAGAGGTCAGACTCTGTGGTATCTTTTATCTAAAGCTCACCAGGATATATCTTGTCGACAAAAGAATGGAAATAACTACTGTTTATTGACAATTACGTTGTCGATATCCTAAATGTCGAGTTAAGACCACAGCAAGTGTTTTCTTTTTTTCACATATAAGTGGACAATTTCTGCTTTATATGAATATAGAAATAGGTCTGTTAATAACGCGACACAGTTGGTACCCAGATAAATTCCAACAGATTGTTGGAATATAGTATCCAAAAGTCACATACAGAAACTCAAGCATCTTTTTGATGTCAACTTGTGTATACAATCAGAATGTGTTTTAACATAATAATTTTGCAAATGACCAATGACAAGGTATGTAAAAGGATATTGTAGCATATCGTTCTTTGAGAAAAGTCAGTCATAAGAACACTTGTTGCCCTAGCAACAAAAACGTAGCTACTTGTATTTGGTTTTGATATCTTGGTGGGAGTGTATCCGACTTAAAAACACATTAAGTACCAGTTATGTTACTGAGTATTGTTATAAACATTTTATGAAGTTCTAAAAACTTCCCATGAAAAGCGGTAAGACAAAAAAGACCAATAATTTACAAAAGTGTTTTTCTGTAGGACCTATTTTGACCTGCACAATTCTTAAAAGTAATGGCGAGTCCAAACAAAAGAATGTTTCAGAAGTTGATATGAGTTCACATAAAATTTTATGAATCAATTATGCTGACCTCAAAAATCACAGCAACTTCAGTTTCATTGGGTTGCATCGAAGTGCTGCCCTGTAAAAGAATATCTATGTGTTTTACATAATTTAGTGATTTTATTTTAGATTCTTAATTTTTTCATGACTTGCTAATAAGTGTCGTTAATATATATATAATGATTACATAATCAAAATATTTCATATAACATTCATTGTATATTATGTACTTCATTTGGTGGCAATAACAAAAAATATTCACATTTCCAATGTCTTTGTCCAAGATAAAATTACAAATTGTTAATGTACTTTATTTCCCCCATCAATGTATTGGCGCGATTCCAAAAATCCACGTGCAGGGGGGGGGGGGGACAAACAGCTAGTCAGAAGCAGGGCTTGGAGCACGTGGAATCAAAGCATGTAAATATAAGGAATAACTTTCAGATTTTTCAATTTCATGACGATGATAAATCGATTGGCTTGCATGATAATTTTATGCATAAACGCCTTTGGCGTTTATGCAAATTATTACACAAACAATTCGATTGATCACATCATGAAATCGAAAAATAAGACAGTTATTCCTTAATTAAATTCCTTTGTTTAGATTCAAATATAGCATTAACTTTTCATTTGTCTGTATCAACCGGAACTGATATAAATTTATTAAGGTTTACAATGTTTTTCATCTAATCAAAAATTA